TTTAATCCATCTTTTAATTCATAATAAAAAGCGTAACAAAGCTTGGTCGTGCCGTCTACAAGTCACTAAGTTACAACTACGTCATTCGGCTGGTCATTTCAATTGCAGAGTACAGCGTTGAAGCAATTTTGTACGGACCGTTTAATTGGATTAAATTTGCGATGACTTACCATCTTTTAACAGTTTTCCAAACACACGAGTAACTTCCAGGAGAGTCGCCGTGCCACTGGTTGGATCGATAGCTCCAAAACCCCAAGCGTCTCGGTGGTTGCCAAGAATAACGTAGCGATCTTCAAACGAATAATAACGTTGATATGAGTAATTTAGTAAACATTTAAATCAATAAATAAAAAAACAAAACAAGTTAAAAAGTGGGTAAAATTAACTTTAAGTAAAGCGGGTTAATAATAGAACATTATAGTCTGCCTGGCAATTAGTTACTTCGCCCTCAGCGACGGAAACCGTGAATCATGCATGGATTGGCGCAAAAATTTTAGACCCTTCCTGGCACATCCACGCGTGATCATTACGATTACGAATACGATTTACGTCTTACTCAACATTGCGCTGGACTAGATGGACTGTTCCCCGGATAATCCTAGCTCAACGCAACTGCTAACGACTCGGAAAACAATCAGTCTCTCGGCTGAGATAGCTCCGCTGTTAGCAATGAAGAAATCATTCACAAAATGAACAAATCTGAGATCGGTCCATATGCTCAATATTAAACCAATCAGTCTTTCAGTTTTCAACAAGAAGTCGAAACTATTTTTTTAAAAACAACAAAAATATTCATCAAAATTAGATATCACAACGAAAAGAACAAATCTAAAAGAGGTCCTGAGGTACCTATATGTGAAATATCAAAGCAATCGGACTTGTTGTTTTCAACATTGAGTTGAAAATATCACTTTTTACTAAAAACGACAAAAATATTCATCAAATTTAGAGAATTAAAGATATCATATCACCACGAAATGAACAAATCTGAGAGAGGTCCACCTGAGGTACCTATACGCTCAATACCAAAGCAATCTGACTTGTGGTCGAAAATATCAATTTTTACTAAAAATGAGAAAAGTATTTCTCAAAATCAGAGAATTAAAGATATCACCACGAAATGATCAAATCTACGAGTGTCAGTAATATGATTAGCTCCGCTCGACGAAGACGACAGTTGAACTAAACAAGTAATGCTTCACCTTACCTGGTTCGACTTTACCCCGGATGAGCCCAATCGTGTTGTAGGTTGTGCGCCGCTCGTTGCGTGAATGAACAATGATTTTCACCTTAGCGATTCTGTAAATAAATGAGATAATTCAGAAAATATCGCCAGGAACCATTCAAATTACTCCCTCAATCAAAATCAATTTTGACACACGTTTATCATTTTATTTATCAATAATACCGAATTTTGTGGTGAGACATTGTTTTTTAACACATCTAACATGCATTTTAACAACATAATTTTACTGATTTTTCATCAACTAATTTCAATCTTTATCAGCCCACTCTACTATGATAACTGTGAGAGGTATCGATGAAGCTGCAGAACAAAGGGCGATCAGAGCCAGTCCAGTTGTTTAACTTTAAGAGCGAGCTGAATAAAAGAATTCAGTTGCTGGAAATTTAATAATACAACATTGCCATACAAATATGGCCACTGCAACTTATAACTACGATGTCCAAGGTTGTTCAATGCTTAAGTTCAAAACAATCTTGACTACATGACATAAAACTAGTTTATTAAATAACTCGTGTCGGTTAATGTGAAACATTTTAAAATCGCTTTTTTAAAGTTGATATTACTAGGCATTCGCCTGCATACAATACTAATACTAACTTGACTTCGCATATTCTCGGGCGGACATCCGGGCATTTTCACCGCAAGGCAACCCTCACGGGGAAAACAAAGGCCGACCACTCTCAGAAAACAGTACTTTGGAATGGTTGTTGAGACTCCCCTGAACAGTGTAATAAGATTATCCCTGCCTGTGTAACACATATAAATTTGATTGTTCAGGATTACTTCAAAGTTGAGTTCCTGTTTTTTTCTCGAATTTCCACCGGCTCTTCGATTGGCGTTCCGCGTTCGCCAGCAGCGTGCGTAGAGCCGATAGAAATACGTGGTACAGTGGTGCGCGTCTTAGCAACGTGGAAGGTCTTGTAACGTAGCTCCGCCCCGAGGATAGACATTTTTCTTCGATAATCGCCGTGGTTCATAACTAGAACAAAGCCAGGATTTAAAAAGGTATCGTTAACTTACGTGTTGTCATCATCTCGGATGGTAGGCCCGTATCTGTATGTTACTCCATCAAGAGCTCCTTTCCACTCCGGCAATACTTCGACCCCTTGCATACGCCTAGTAGTTCAAAAGAGTACATGAAGAAAATAATTATGAGTAGGCGAAGGAGTGAACGAGGAAGGAAGAAAGGAAGAAAGGAAGGAAGGAAGGAAGGAAGGAAGGAAGGAAGGAAGGAAGGAAGGAAGGAAGGAAGGAAGGAGGGAGGGAGGGAGGATGGAGGGAGATAGGCAGGCAGGCAGGGAGGCAGGGAGGGAAAAACGATTATGTACTCAAAAGAGTACATAAAGAAAATAATTATGAGTAGGCGAAGGAGTGAACAAGGAAGGAAGGAAGGAATACGATTACAAATTGTTCAAGTTGTATATCACAATTTAAGTAAATGTATTCAATGCGTATTATGATTTGTCGATGTTTAAAAGAAGGTGGTTGTCGCACCGCGTCCTGTTCGATATGGGACTCATAGCGACGTATACAACGCGTGTAAAAAACAAAGTTTATTTTCACGAAATTTGAACACGCGCTGCGTGACGACCACCGCCCATTTGAGTACAAGTCGTGCCACATTGTGAGTGCGAGGGTCATTTCTGGGAGTAGGAGTAATGTAATAATAGATTATGAGAATTCAACAGAGTGGATAGTTCTAAAGTATATAATCAAAGCATGAGTATACTAGTATGCCTAAATTAGAGTTTGTGATAAATAAGAGTATTTCGATAATGTATTTATTTATTTATTAACTCGACATCAAGGTCAGGAAAACATCGCATAGGTCACACGCACTTATGAAAAGACAAACTTCCACGTGTATTTACATACACACACACAATATATTATAAATTCATAGAAATATACAATACTCTGAAAGGCTATTAAAACTACAGTAAACACTCAGTACACACGAAGCCACAGTGGTGCAGGAATGCAGTTTAGTGACCCATGTACATGAAATATTATTTTCTAGAAGAATAACATTTTTTGTATAACAGGTGGGACTGACTGAAGATATCAAATCTGGATTTAATGGACAGGCATCCCAAGTATAAGAGTGTGCGATGTTGAGGTATGTGAGTAATGCTTGGCAGTATGTCACTTGTACAAGACTACAGTACAACGTGTAGTGCTTACATGTGTAAATTGATTCATGTTGTAATTATCGATAATGCTTTCGTACCTCAATATCTCTTTAGCGTCGGCGTAGCTGATCGGGTGCACCGGGATTTTTGGTAATGCAGCTTCGTTGTCATCAATTCTGTAGGCAAAAGCTGAAATGGAAAAGAAAGAAAAAGTCACGGGCAGCTTAGTGGCATTTAGTTATCATGGAAACCATGACATTAGCATATAATTACAGTCATGAGTGGAATAGACTGACACGATTTAGCCAAAAATCGATAACACAGTGGACCTAATCAACTAATAATCGCATATAATCATTACGTTGGTTTCAAAATGGTTTAAATGAGAGGAAAAATTTATCTCAACTGCAAACATTTCTGCAGGAAATTCTCCGTTTCAATGTCTTACTCTAAACCATCTGTTTTTACCTGTTGCCGGGTAACCGGGTGTCAGTGGGTCCATTGCGTCCTTGAAAGTAGAGCCGCGTTGAACGCCTGTCTCGGGCAAGTATATTCCATCGGGGTAGCGAGGTTGGCCAGCAGGAGCCACGTCTTTTGGGTCAGAATAGAGGATGATACCCTTAGCTCCAACGGCCATGGCATTGGAAACCTGAAACGTTTACAAACGCAGAGCGCCATCACTTTTTTTTGTATTTATAAACTTTTATTGGAGTTTTCACTGAAATTAACATCTTACATACCCGGTTTGTACATTACAAATTGCAATGAATCTGCTTATTGTGAAGTGGATTGAGCAACATTTTTTCAAAAATGTCCCCATTTCTTATTATGAGGAGTCAACCTATTCCGTCGGACAGCAATGAAGTACTCTATCTCCATGAAATATTTTACATATCTTTTGTATGCCGTGAATTCTGGCTTTTGGTTTTATGTCTACACAAGTAAATATATTTTTTTGCTAAAAGAAAGAGGAAGTTGACTAAACATGTAAAGGTTTCATCCCCAAGAAGGATTTGTTGTGCATTCGGGAATGCCCTCAGACCAAGCTTGCCCCCCCAAGCATGTACAATGTTTCCCAAAAATATTGGGTGCATTGACATTGGTAAAACAAATGGATAAGAGATTCAGAGCATGATGAACAGAAAGTACACAGATCAGACTCCACAATGAGAGGGTTCATCTTGAGTAATGTTTTGTTTGAGAGCGCCATCACCTAATAAGTGTGTCAAACTTTTGTTTTGAAAAGAATAAGAATTGACGTATCGAAATTCCGGTTACAGCAGATATACAACACAGATTGATGACCAGATGACCGACCCAACAGATATAACCCGGATTGTTGACGGGCAAAACACGAATTTGAAAGTAAATGGGCTTCGCGTTTCAGAAATAGCGCCCTCAACCGCCCTTACCTTATCTCCTCGAAATATTTTACCATATCGTGCTATTATAATAGTCCCATTCAACACCATATTCCGATCTCTCTCTAAGTAGAAGAAATCTTCTACTCTGGCATAATTGGCGTACACTACGTCACCCTGGAATTGAGAAATTACATAACTAGAATCTGCATTTCCAACAATAGCATCGAATCAATTAAAGCGAACTCATTGTCATGGAAAATATCGCAGATAAAAAGATCAAAAGCAAAAATAATACTAATAATAAATACTAATTCACATATTGCATACCTGCTCTTCGCCTTGGGCCGAGTATGCATTGAATGGCGGCACAACATCCGGGTGATCTTGAGTGGGGTCCAGAACTTTTTCCTTCAGCGCCGATTCGTGAATAATATTATCCGGAGTATTGGCTTCCAAAATCTGGACCTTTAAACAAAAATGTATAGTTTGAAGATCCAGGTGAATAAATTCGTTTTTCATTGCAGTAGTATAATTTTATAATATGCGTTATCGTAGCGCCCTCTTGTGGTGTAATATGAATAAATACGTGTTGACAAACTGCGCTGGCATTTTAACAACACTGCTTTAAATAATTTACAATGACTGTATGACGCATTTATGATATATGGCATTTCTACAATTTATAAATTTTCACAGTGCTGGGGAGACGCGAAAATATACATCATATCTAGTAGTTAAGGCGACAATGTCACTTGTTCCCCACTTGTTCAACTGGTTGTAAATACAGGTGCTTGACACAGTTACTAAAGAACAAGAACTGTGTCGAGGTCAACTTTCTCTGCTTCCTTACCACAATTAATTAAAGCAGTCATTCGTTGTCTTTTCCATCACATGGTTAACGAATTCGAACGTAATTTGAAATGACAATAAATACGACCAACGTTAAAGGATCCTTGCGCGCATGTCTTCAATTTTACCCGTTGTAAAATTTTAAATTCTAAATTTCTAATGCAAGATTTTTTTTTTTTCACTGAAGGTATTTTGGCAAAAAACCATTAGTTGTCAACTGACGACTACACACCACAATGACGCTTGAATGTTGCCTAGCAACATAATTACAAAATGTATGGTCCATATGTGAGATTTGAAACACACCTGCACGGAAAAACACCTGATCAATGGAAAGTTGCGACCATCATACCATCACTCAAATAATGCGACCTTAGCCAAGATAAAAAGAACAACATCAGATCAGCAATCTCCATAATATACCTTATTTTCCTTGCCTTCTTCATCGGATGGGTACGAGAGTAATACATTGTACGGGACAGCTTCGGCGTGTTCTATGCCCTGCTCCAACCATGTCTGCACAATGTAATCCGCTTGCTCCTTGTCCGCCGGTGTGCCAGCTAGATGAGGGATTGACGTAAGATACCTAGGAATACATATGAGTGAGAACAAAACATTTTTACTTGGAACGATGACGCTAATAGCTTTGTGG